GTGATGCTGCATGCAAGATGGGTGCACATATGCAGCCGTATCTTCGGTAGCGGTGATTGGCAAGATGCCTACGGGAAACTCGTCCGAAATCGATTTTCAAGTCACTGAGAACGGAGGCTTTTTCTTCGCCGGATTTTGACCGTTTCACTCCGTTCTTTCGCCATTTCCCCTACATAGCGCCCTACTAGCATTTTAGGCCGAGTGGGAAACCATCGTGCCAACTGCCTTTGAGGGTACATTAACCTCAGCAGCAAATTCTAAGAGCCACGAGATTTCCAACTATCTCAACCTTTAATCTCGAGTGCACATAGGGCTCCTTGTAATCAATATCGTGGAAAAGAAGTCTGATTGGCTTAAAAGCTACCCATACTGACTTGCGCCTCTAAGCTGTTGCGCCACCTCACTCGACTTCCCTTCGCCTAGCAGGACACACCATCGTTTGGAGTCTCCAACGAGGGTTGCCGTACTTGACCGTGGTGTGGAGGAGGGGGTTGGGTCGCGAGTCGGCCAGTTATGAGAAGTGCAAAGGTGTGAGCATCGCTTAGTGTCAGTTGTGAGGAACGGAATTCGGACTGCAGAGCTTGGATGCGTGAAAAACGCTAAAAGGCGCAGTTCGGCTTGGAGGGGCACCATACGTACTCTGTAGAGCTTGTACAAGTCAACTTGTGGATATCTGTAAATCCTGTGTCACTTGTATCGCCTCGCAGTTTCAATATCATCAAATGAGGTCTGTCTGTTAACATGAACCGCGGCAAAAGGAACTAGCGAAAGCGGACAGAAAGAACAAGTGACCCTTCCCCCTCAACCCAAACAGCCCCCAACTTCTCCGTGCCTCACTCACTGTCCTATTCCTTGATAAGATAACAATTAATGTGATATTCTCCGACATATTAGCCCTTTGGATTAGAAACCATCTAACCCTTTCCAAAGCGAACAAATTTGCCCACAGAACAGGAAAAGAACACCCGTGCAGCCAATAAAGGACAGAAAGGGCTACGCCGCAGGCGGCCCCGCAACGAAAGCACAGTAATCGTATCAAGCAAGACTGGAGCGCGCCGACTTTTCAATTTTTTTAGGGCTCTCTCTTACTTTTAACGATGATTAGTTTTGATGTGGTCGTCTCTTGTTTCTTTACAAGTTTACGAATGGGTTTATTTTGTACTTTCGTGTTGTCTAGGATGTTGTTTCTTCTTGTGCGAGGAATTGAGGAGTCTGTGTATCGAGTTGGTTATTCTTCTACGTTTCCATTTCTTATTCTAGTTTGCTGGTTCTAGGTCGGGTAACTGTGGTAATCTGGTTGCAAAATGTCAGAAGTCCCACACTATGTGCTCTATGAGCACGCTGTGGGATATGCGTTAATGAAAATCAAGGAATTCGAAGGATGCAGGATTGATTATCCAAGAGGTAAGCCTTCAGATTTTCACGAAATTGTAGGCCTGTATACAATTCCCTTACAATGAATGTTTGGTTGAATATCGAAGCTTAATTTCGGATGATTAGCTCATGCACGCTCTTCTGGCCTACGGGAAAAAGTTTACAAAATTTCAGCTCATCTTATTTTTTTATTTACTTATCTAAATCTCAAATGAAATCATCATAAGTGAGAGAGCTCTGCGTTCTTTTGCGTTCTTTTTGGAGTGTTTTTACTTGTTTCTTCTTCAGTCAAACGCATCGTTCTATTTCAGGTTGACGCATCTATCGCCGATGTTTCAAAATTTAGTGGCATCGTCAAGTTGGCAGCATTTTGATCCCTTCAAGAACACCGAAGCTGCTCTCGAGAATGCTAATGCTATCTCCGAGGGTATGAAATTTCTCCGGACCTGAATTATTCCCCATACCCCGGAGATGGGGAGGGCGTGGTTGGGTGCGTGAGTGTGGGGTAGATCATGTTCGCCATAGAATGTTTCTATATGAGAAATCTCTGGTCAAAGACATGATTAAAAATCACTCAAAACGAACGTATCCCACTAGAAGCGTAGCAGCCTCACGTTCAATTCAATTGCGCAGCCACACCGATTGTAAGTGTGAATGTAGTACGCAGCCACGCCCCCTTTGCCTCAGGGATATGGTACGTATCTGTTTCAAAATGACCCGCTTCCAATTTTCCTTTCATGTTATTGAGTTGAGAATGGCTGTCGGCTTTGGGTTATCACTTTTATCACGTGTTGTATAATTTTCTATTGATATAGGCTTGGCTCATGCGGATCTCATCAATTTTCTCGAAAGCAGTCTACCCCAAAAGAAGAAGAAACTGGTTTTGGGTGTTAATGACTCGAAGCTTGCCGGTTCGCTAACTGAAGCGAACGTTGGCATAAAGCTCGTATTCGGAGGTGTTGTTACCGAGGTGTGAATTGATTTCTCCCGTGAAATCGCTCACCAATGACGAGAACAACCTCATGCACGTGAAGCATTTAGATCCTACGTGGTGTTCGTGTCCATTTCGCTCATCTAGCCAAGGATCTTCCTCATCACTCCTTGGCCAAGGCTCAGTTGTCTCTTGGTCATAGTTATTCCCGTGGAAAGGTTCATTTCGTTTTTTCTCGCATTTATTTATTCTATACACGTGCAAAAGCACATGCGATAACGATTGAAACTAATACTTACTCAACTAAAATTGATCAGTTCGCGTTCATACTTCGCGACTGAGGTGATTGCGGGACGAGGAGAATATAGGCATTGATCAAGCGACTGAAAGAAACCAGCTATCCGGCGTTTTACAAGACTTGGCGTTTCGGGCGATTGCGCGCCAAACGAATTGGATGGGCATCGATCGATAGCGACACGGAGATTCGGCGTCAGTCGTTATCCGTTTACTCAATTTCGCGCAATCGTCGGAAACGCCGAGTCGTCCGAGACGCCAAAGCGCCGATTCTCCACAATGGCCAGATCGATACCAATACTTTTGTTGTCTCACAGTCTCTCGAATCGCCGAATCTCTCCTGTCGCAAAGTATGAACGCAACCTCAAATAGCATAAATGCGTCAAAATCACACGAAATTGTTTTGAAAAAATTGCATTCCCATGGAAAAGGGGTCATATCTTTATGGAGAAACAGCACTATGTGCCTTGGGAGGAGCCATTCTCCAGCCAGGCTTATGTAAGCCATGTTATTCCGCGCTGTCCAGTGCAGCAAAACAGGAGCCATATTTAGCCCCATCATGCCCTTACGCCAGCTAAGCCATGTTAGGACGGATTCTATCTATATGAAAGGGTGCAGACGTGGC